GGTGCATCTTGAAGTAAACTACATTAACATGGAAAACTGTCATAAAAAAATCAATTTATTTATTAGTAATTATTCATCCGAAATAATTACGAGTTTTAGCCTAAATCATACACTATTACTTTTCAAAATTATTTTTAATCATTTTGGGATCGCTAAAGAAAAAAAGTGGGGGGAAAGTATTTTTCTCTCACTCCTATGGATAAAGATCTGCCAGACCGTCCTTTTGGGATTACATAATGTTTTCTTCCTGTAAATGGTTCATCAGAACACACCCATCCTTTACACAACCTGGACCACCTCCCACTGCATGTCTCTATTGTCTCTATTTTACACAAGCTTCAGTCTGGATCCAGAACACCTGAGAAGAGATGATGCCAAGGACCTCAGATGTTAATAGTGTTCATCATCTGTTTGATTACGTCTTTAATTGATTTCTCCATACATTTCTGCCATATGTACATTAACTGACAGTCACCACTGATAAGCTACCACTAAATATTGTAGAAACTTAATTTGCTGTAAAGTTGCTTTGCAATGATTTGTATCGTGAAAAGCGCTGTACAAATAAACTTGAATTGAATTGAATTGAAAACCAGTCTCCTCTTGGCTTATATGAAATCCTCCGACATTTTTCTTTACAAATCCTCGTTTTGTACTTCTAATTAGTGACCGTTGTTTTGTTTTGATCTCTCCCCTGCGCTTCCACGTTCGTCACTATCTGAGGGTTGTCCCCCCTAAAAATATGATTAAAAACCACGCTGTGTATTGTAATGTAAATAACCTTTTATACTTTAAATAACTTTGTAAGTAGTAAAACAACACAAACGCAAACGGGGCAAAAATGGGTTTTAAGTTTAGAAACATTTTGAGTCTCCCCCTCCCTTGCCTCACAGTGCTTTGGTCCAAATGCCTGCTTTCCTCTTTTACATCACCTCAGTGTTGCCAATTGGGTTACTTTAACACTGTTGACGCGGGTTTTTCATGTCCGTGGGTTGAAAACCTGGCAACCCTGCATCACACAGATACACACACACAAGTCCGGTGAGCGAGAACAAAGTCAATAGTTGTGGAACTCCAAGGCTGTCAAGGCTATTTTATTCACTTAAACATCGGATGAAGTGATTATTTTCTCTTTAATTCAGATGATGCCAATGTATTTTTCGATGAGTCCACTATGTTAGCAATAATAACATTACCTGCTTGACGGATAGTAATGTCTACAACGGACACGACCGCTGTCGCTGCGCGACCACAACAGCTTGAAGTTGTCTAATTTGGCACGGTCTCCCTGTTACACTAATAGTAGTAAGGCTTTCTTCTGTGTAAACTTTTCCTTATAAGTACAATTTTAGTGTCCCCTTCAAAAATTGCTCTTGAGAAATTTTATGTTTATTGTCCCCCCCAACTATTGTCCCGCCCCTGCCGTCACGCTAATACATTTAATTTAATTTATTACACAAGGCGTTTATTTCTGTCCTTGCTTTCACGTGTTTTAGGCACTTACCTTGATGGGGTTTGTACTGAAACAAATCTTCCTGCTGGGGGGTGGTTCATCTTCTACAGGCAGCCCAGGGATTTCTGAACAGCTGGATTCTGGTTCGTAAGCACCATCATCCTCAGCCTCCTCATCTTCATCCAGCTGACTACCACCAGAGTCCTCTCCAATCCCGCTGTACGCACTGATGTCCACCAGGTCTGCTTCTGAGATATCCTCTCTGTGGGATTCCTCCTCAGCGCAGGCCTGTCCAATTTCCTCCTTTTGTTCTGAGGGCTCATGGCTGCTGGTGGCCTCCCCATTTTCCAAAGAGGCGTGGACATCCGCCTGTACCAGTCTGCTCCCTGCATCCGGTGCTTCTGGTGCTGCATGCCCCTCTGGTTTGGAATCCTTGCCCGATGCATTATGGATCTCTTCTGACCTGGACGTATTGAAATCCGTACCAGCACTGCCAGAAGCCACATCCTCGGATAATTTGCTTTTGGGTCCATCAGCTTGGAAGCTTGTTCTACTCTTCGGACTCCCAGGTGCAGCCTCTTGGTCTTTGCGCTGAGCTCCCTCCTCTTGATTCTCTGTCGGAGGGGAGACTCGTCCCTTTCTAGTGACAATTTTGGAGCTGATTCCTCCCACCTTGCCCGGGGTAGAGCCTACCCCGTGAGAAGGCAGTGGGGAGGTTGAAGATGGTCGGTGAAGGTTGTTGCGCTGGTCTGTTCGTTCAAACACTGCGCTCAACTGGCTGACTGTAGGGGACACTGCATCTGCGCGACAGTCTCCCGCGTCCAGTCTGTCCAATGACTCTGTGCTGCCATTGAAGCGAACCACCACATCCAAACGGCTGTCTTGGAACCCCGACGCCCGCTCTTTCTTTAACAGGATTCGATTAGTCGCAGCCTGCTTCTCCTGCAGGTGACGCTGCTCAAATATCTTCCGTGTCTCCTGTAGCTTGGAGAAGCCTGTGCTTGGTCCATGGAAGCTGCTACCGTCGGTCTTTCCATCGAAGCGGCTAACTCGCTCTGACACAGTCCCGCCGAGTTTGAGCAGCGCACTGTGATCCACATTCTCATTCAGACTGCTTGCTCTGGGGAGGGAGAGTCGGATTGCCTGGTCTTTGGCCTTCGACGGATCCTCTTCTTCCCCAGGAGAACCCATCTGCATGAACATATTCTTGATGCGGTGCACATTAGAGCCGTACCTGCGGCCCCGGCCCTGTGGTCGAGGTTTCCCATCCTCCCCGTTAGCAGCACTGGAATCTTTTACTGGCTTGAGAGATTGAATTCCAGCTTCATAGGCGTTTCTGTGCGGTGATGCGCTTCTTGCTACGAGGATGGTGCTGGCGCTGCCGCTGGCTGCAGATGGGGGTTCAGTCTTCATCATGGTTAATCAAACAGCAGTAAAGACGAGCAGAAACAGCATAGCCCTCTGCTTCTCCTCCTTATTGCATGAATAAGAAGTGGCAGCCTTCAGGATCAGTCCATATTATCAGCTGCAAAACAGAGAAAAGGAGAAAGTATGAATAAGACAGAAATAATTGACATATTTTATAAGAAATATGCAAGGAATAATTGATGACGGACCACTGAATTATCAGAAAAATAATGCACACACGAGGTGGTGATGCAGCCATTACACCAAGCGGAGCATTATTTTTCTAATAATTCAATGGCCCGAAGTCAGTTGTTCCGCTTATACTACAGTTACCACAAGACATTGTTCAGATGACGTATTTCAAGACATTTGTCAGGTTTTTGTCCTTAAAACACTCTTGCATGTAGGACTAATTTCACAAGCATCAAGTCTCAAGCCTCAGTTGCTAGTTCCACAACATCATTTTAGACCTAGTTGTGAAGGCCCGAGCCATAGTGCAGTTATAAATGCAGTCTAATGCAGTAATTAGAGAGAGAGAGATTAATTGTAGCTGTGTGAAGCACGTGTAAATGACCTGAATCTGTGCATTTAAATGGAAAACATTTAACCAAGTGGCATTTGCAGACAAATGAATAGAGTTCATACATAAAGCCAGTTCACTAAGAAAGACATTAAATGAAACTTGATTTGATATTTTGCATCTAATGCAATGGAATGCATTAATTTTTAAGTGCAGCCTATGTACTGTCTAAATACTTTTGACAGCTAATTTGACAAATCAAGTGGGGCCACTACATAAAGTATATATAAAACAACAGCAACTGTACAGGGCAAATGCCTACATGTTTAGTACCCTAATATGGTTTTTGAGCATCCATTGACAGCTCTGCCATGGCCACACACATGCCCCAGGGTCATAAAGCCAGAAAAGCTGCATTCTCAGACGCCTCTTACTTTTACAGTTCACTTAAAATTGCACTAAAACAAGAGTAAATGAAGATCTAAGACCAATTTTTAATCTACAACCTTTAAAAAAAAAAGTAGTCCTACATAAAAATCACAACAATATTAAAGACTACAAAGGAACGGGTTTACGCAGTGATGCAAAACACTTCCGTAATGACTCAAATTTCCTTGAGATGTACTTTGAGGTGTAGACTACATCTTACATAACACTGATTTCAAATAGTTTTAAACACAAATCATTCAGTTTGGCAGACAAAGGTATTTAAATGAGGCTGATAGCTGTGCTTTGGGACATGGTAGCTCGTTTCTAGATGGTCTAAGATGGTCATTAGCTGGCAGACCATCTTAGACCGGCAACAAAGCCTCTTAAGATGACCAGGCTGGTTTTTAAAACATAGTAGCTGGTCAAAATTCAGCAAGAAAATGAACTAGAGCCCAGCCACCATGTTACAAACACAGCTCCCAGTTTAAGCTGGATTTTCCAACAGGGTTGGATCTCTGTAGACAACAAATTGATCTTTCTGTCAGATAAAGGAAGTCTGATCATGAACGGAACCGTAAACAGAGTCACAGGAACTTGAGACAATTTCAAGTCATTTGATATATAAAACGGTGCATGAATTCTTGGGAAATACCACGCATACTGGCATGGACAGGCAGGCTTTGTTGTGATCCCATGCTGCTGCTGCTGCCAGTATATTTACTTATCTGGGCAGCATGAATCAACCAGCGAAACATCAGCTGTCGTTTTAATTCCGCTTTACATCGAGATATGCAAGACAGACCATATCGCTAATTAAAATCGTAAACTGTAAGATATATCTTTTCTGCGCCGCCAGTTGTGTTGAAGGAGTGTCAACAGATTGAAGCTGCAGCCTGTCAAAACATCACACTAGGACCCTGCGGAGCGAGCGGCCCCGCTCTCTGCAATGATGCCTCGACTCGGCGACGTCGCTTCCTGCATCCTCTACCGTCCAAATAACGGTTCTACCGTTAGAATCAACGGACATTTTTGATTTCCTCCGCTCTCCTCAGAAACTGGACATACCTTGTTTCTCGTGCTCATCGAAGACTCCGTCCTTTAATTAACGAAAAGTCCTTTCGTTCACAAATCCATTGTGTCCACGAGCCGTTTTCGCACTCTCTCTCTCTCTCTCTCTCTCTCTTTCTCTCTCTCTCTCTCTCTCGTACACAGCAGCACAATAAAAAGCTACATATACACTGGTAAAGTGGCAAAAACTGAACAATAGATTTGCACAGTAGTAGCATAAAAAGTAGTAGTGGCGTAAGCTGGTAGAAATACATAAATAAATATATGTACATTAATTAATAATTTAAGTAGTTATATAATATAGTTTACTGTACTACTGCTATGAAGAAATCATTTTTTAGCAAGTTTGAGATATTTTATAAAGCATACCATTCCCGTTTTTATAAACTAGTGAGATAATGTGAATATAGAGATTTTTTGTCCCCCTTTGTTTCATTTTCCTCTTCATTTCTTTATTTACTTCACATTTATTGTCTCTGTTCTGAATTTCAGTATGGCAATATTGTAATTATTAATAATAATCATTTGTAGCTAACAATCTATCGATGTAGTATACTTCTTAAATTTGGTATATATGTGAATTCACCCCATTTTATTTTATTTTAACTGTACTTTGTCTCCTTTTAATGTCTTTCCCATTTTATATAATTACTTAAGTCGTCCTGTTTATTTTTTATTTCGGTAGCTTATATAAAAGCTTTAATAATGTAAATACTGACAATCCTGCCAATACAGCTTTGGTGACACTGATAGATAGATAGATAGATGGATGGATGGATGGATGGATGGAGGGATAGAGGGAGGGAGGGATAGATAGATAGATAGATAGATAGATAGATAGATAGACAGAGACAGACAGACAGACAGATAGATAGATAGATAGATAGATATTCTTCTCAAAAGGTAATTCAAAAACACAACCTATGCTATCACTGAAACATTATGGCCGGAGTGTTCAATAAACACAAATCTGTAAATAAACACGTTTATACAGCTGGCAGCGATCTACTGGGGTAAACTCGAGGCAGCAAAAACTGTTGTCAGTAAAACTCTTGTCTAGTCAGTTTTTACTACACGTGTCCATCTCTGATTCAAACCACTGCAATGCGCGAAGGCCTTACAAGACACACTGATCCATTTTAGCGACATTTGAGCCTCTTCACAATCGTAGGCAATTACTGGTATGTAGAGGCCGACATCATGTGGTGAGTCTTAGAAGTTCAGAATGTCCCTAACCATTGTACAGACAGGGCACCGGTATGGAATCCCACACCCTGGGGAGTCTTTGTTGCACTTCCAATCTGTGATTGTGGAAACCGTGTCTGTGGGCACTGAATGGACTGAAGATGAAGTGAGACAACCTTTTCAGCTCCATTTGCATTGCAATTTGACATGCTGCAGCAAAGAATTTCTAATTAAGGGATAAAGGAGATTTTTCCTGAGCCTTTGATGTTGCACACTGCAGGTACAAAAGCTAGATAGATAGTCTGTGACAATCATGTTTGTAGACTAGGAATCTGGTTCAGGGGCTATGAGTTGGCTAACAAACATTAATTTGACTTATTTATTATTATTATCATTAAATATTTTAGATTGAAAATGACCCACATTGCCAGTTTAAGTTTGTAGATTATAAAATTGCCTTAGAAACCCTAATTTGTAACTGAAATGGTACAAAAAAGTTATTATTTTTGTGTAATAATGCTAGTTATATTATACAGGATAGCAGTTGCTACAGCAAGAAAAGGTTCATTTAATGTTATACCGCATAGAGAAGTTTAATTTAAACAGTGGCACTCTCTAATTATGTTCCTGGTGATTGCAGAACAGTAGGCGCAGATGACTGAGACTTCCCTTGGGACTCAAAACAGCTGAACAATCTCTTCGCTAACATCTGTGTGGTTGCCGCAGCAACACTTGCATACTGCCTGCCTGCCACAGTGACCCATATTTCCTCTGATATTAATCTCACTACTCACATAGCACACACAGACTCCCCTGTGCTGGGCTTTTATGCAGGGGTGTGTTCGGTGAAATAGGATCACACTAGCTATTGTTTGTCTTTGACACTGATCACTCTCAAACAGAATCACAGCGAGCCCCCTCTAGATACTGAACTGCTCCACATGCATCATTGCTCAGATCATTATTATCCTGTCTAGGTGGGTAAATAGCCTGGGAGTTGGATTCTCTCTCTAAAAATTATTATTCAATAAAATTCTAAATGGCCATTGGCTGGGCTGACTTGATTTGATTTGTGTTTGGATTCTTTGTTGCTGTTGAACTGGACTAATATTTGTGTGTGTGTGTGTTTTACTTATTGCCTTCTCTTCATAATCCTTGTTCTAAATCTGCCTCAATGCAACTACAGTTGCTATCAAAATATTTTAACCCCTCAGAGACTGCAGTACTTTACAAATACAAGCTTTTCTGAAGATCCAGGATTTTATAAAAATTGCATCTATAACAGTTTACTGGTATATTAAAAGTGACCGTGTCAATAATATTTTTGAGCAATAGGACTAATAACTGACTAATATTTGTGTGTGTGTTTTACTTACTTCCTTTTCTTCATAATCCTCGTTCTAAATCTGCCTCAATGCAACTACAGTTGCAATCAAAATTATTCAACCCCCCAGAGACTGTAATACTTTACAAATACAAGCTTTCTGAAGATCCAGGATTTTATAAAAACTACACCTATAACAGTTTACTGGTGATTGTGTCATAATATAATATTTTTGAGCTTTGGGATTTTTAGCTGTCATAATTATTAAATTCCTATTCAACATTGCTGTTTTTAAGTCACTTATTTGTACGGTGAGGAACAAAATTGTCTTAAAACACAATTAAGCCTTTAGAAACTCTATAACAAAACTGAATTAGCTTGAGCTGTTACACATACATTAACTTAGCCAATGTGCTGAAGTTGAGTATGGCAAATTCAACAGAGCTCTCACAAAAGCTATAGAAAATAAATTGTTTTATTACATTAGAAAGTCTAATGCTACATGAAGATTTCCAAGACATTAAACGTTCCTAGAGACACAGCTGGCAGACGTATTCCTTAGCTTAAAATGTGTTGTACCAGAAAACCCTCAAGGGTGTTGAAACAAAAATCACAATATCATAAAATGTTTGATTAGAGCAACTGAGAAAAACCTGCATTGTACAGCCAAAGACTTGCAAGATGACCTAGGGCTGGGCGGTATATCGAGTTTGATATATCGATGTATTCTTTATAAACGACGGTACGCAATACTGGTTATAGTAGTTTGATACGAGCGCATCTGAATAATAGCGGAGGACACACAGTGAGCTGCTGCGTGGGAAAAGTACATTATACAATTTGTCCTAAACATGAGACATGCTTTATATTAAGGGCTTTAAAATAACTCGTAAGATATAGGCCCCATTGTCTAGTGGAGTTCCACAAGGATCCATTCTTGGCCCAGTCTTGTTTTCATTATATATTACCTTTAGGTTCTATATTTCATAAGCAAGGAGTATCTTTTCATTGTTACGCAGATGACACTCAGGTGTATCTACCTTTGCCGAAACAGGATAAAAGCTCTTTTGAGTCACTATTGAGTTGTTTACATGAAGTCAAATATTGGATGTCACAAAATTATCTGAATTTGAATGAAAGCAAAACTGAAATAATCTGAAATAAACTCTGTTCGGGGTTCCTGACACCCAAAACTCTTTTGACTTGGGCAATGTAGCTCTCTTCTGTAAATCTGTGGTGAAGAACCTTGGTGTCCAATTTGATAGCTCTTTGAAATTTGATAAACAGATCAACTCCGTGGTCAAATCTTGTTTCTTCTATTTAAGATCAATAGCAAAGGTTAAACCGTTTCTGTCCTCCAGTGATTTTGAAAGGATTATTCATGCTTTTATTTCTGTAAAACTGGATTACTGTAACTCACTGTATGTGGGTATTAGCCAAGTATTGTTAAATCGTCTTCAGTTGGTTCAAAATGCGGCTGCTAGGCTTTTCACAGGTAGGGTACAACGGGGCTAAAGGCGCCCCGGGGTAAAAGGCTGGTTCAAAATGCGGCTGCTAGGCTTTTCACAGGTAGGGTACAACGGGGCTAAAGGCGCCCCAAGGTAAAAGACACCTTTGATATTATTAATCTAAACCACTAGATGGCACAAAAACGTGGCGTAGCACTTTCCAAAACATCCGCTTTTCAAGATGCACGTGTATTTTTGTCTGATGCTTGACGCGATCGCGCGCAGCAGTGCAAAGCTGATTCTGTGCTTACTATTTTATGTTTTTTAAAATGTCATAGATTTAAGTAGCAAACGAGAATCGCTAAAATTAATGCATACATTTTGAGACAAAGGTCTTCTTTATGATTTTCCGTTTTGTTTAAGATAATTAAAGCAACAGTTTTTAAATAACGAAAGAATATGTAAACGTATGGTATTTGGGTAAGCGCCCCTGCTGTTGGGGCTAAAGGCGCACAGTAATTAACATGATAATTAATAGATGGCTGACTTTTCCATTTGTTGACATGACATAATTCAGGGGCGATTCTAGGATTTTAATTTTAGGGGGGCTCAGCCCCCAATGAGGGTATATATATATATATATATATATATATATATATCCATTCATTCAAATGAAAATGAAAATGGCAGCATGATCGTTTTGTAAAGTATGCGTTCATATGTGCTTCATTTTCACTGGAGGAAACAGCTGTGATGTGATGAGGAGGGGTGAATGCAGCGAAAACTTAGACTACAGTAGATGGGGAACCGATTGCTACCCCATGATAATTTTTAAACTGTATTTATGACAAAAAAACTAAACAGATGCAGATATTATAACAATCTATCGATAAACACACACCTTGCCCTCTGTTTCTCGCTCTGCGCTGCCGCGGTCTGCGGGTTGAAAAAGAACGCGCTGAAAGACGGGGAGGAACCGATCGAAGTCTGCCGCCGTTGTCAGATGAAATTTAAAGGGGACTGAGGCAATCATGAATTCGTGTACAGTTTGTGGTGCTAATCGCTAAATTTTAGGGGGGCTGAGTAGTCATTTTGTCTACTAAAATGGCCTAGCAACGCCCATGCATGACATGGTTAGATTCAGATGGTAAATAATATCATATATTGTGTTGGGTGTCCATATTAGAGATAATCACCGTTTAGAATTAAACCATCATAGGCTATCTAAAAACATGATATTAATCATATCATATAATAAAATATAATTTGTTGTTACTACTGTAAATATATATTCAATTATTATTGGATCTCCTTCAATGCTTTCAGAATCTTTACTTATTAAATCGATTTTGTTTCTGTATTTAAAAATATATATTTTTATAGGAACATATTTTAATGACAATATATTTATTGAAAAAAAATAATTATTTTATTTTTCAAAATAAGTAGAAAATAGTACAAAATGTGCTAAAGTGATTGTTTTGAACAAGTATTAACTTAGACATTATTAAAAAAAAAAACCCATTATTTTAGCTGAAGTATTAGTATCAATACCGTGTGCCTTACTCCATGCTGCTGAGCCTTTTACCCCGTGTGTGGGGCACATGACCGACCTTCAACGTTGAAATATAGTCGAAATAAGGTCAGTTGTTGTTTTAACTTGAAACAACGTTGATACAACGTTTAATGCTGAACGGTTGAAAACCAGCCGGCACATGACCAACCTTCAATGTTGAAATATGGTTGAAATAATGACAGCTGTTGTTTCAACGTTGAAACAACTTTGAAAAATGTTTAATGCCAAATGGTTGAAAAAGGTTAACAAAAACACTTTTAAATCAACATAAAATTTTTTTTACGAGATCTGTATGTTGAATCAACTTATGTCTTCAACAGCATACAAAATAAATTTCTGCCTTTTAAATTATTAATATTAAATTATTTAAGATAATTATTATTATTTTAATAGCATTTTACAATATTTTGATCATGAAACCTTTTCTAAAATCTAAAGGTATATGTTAAATATTATCATCATTAACAACAATAAAACTAAATACATTTCGCTGCGTTTTCACACTGAAACAATTCCTATTGGTTGTTTTACTTATTTACGTATTGCTTTGATCATGATTGGTTAATCTGCGTGTCATCCAGGAAACTGGACAATGAAACTGTTCGCGCCTTTCTAAATTTGAAAATATGACCATCGTCTTTCTGACGGCTGACTGTGGGCTGACTGTGAGCTGCTGCTCGTTGAAACTGCTGGGTCGCGGTCCCGAATTATTTTATATTTGCCTGTTAAATTTTGATTTTGAGCGAATTTGAGTCGTGACATGTCGACGGAGAACAAAAACTGTAATGTTCTGAGTGAGGCGGCTGAATGTGAGCTGCTGCTCGTTGAAACTGCTCTATCGGTCCCGAATTATTTTATATGTGCCAGTAAAATTTTTATTTTGAGCGAATTTGAGTCGTGACATGTAAACGGAGAACAAAAACTGGAATGTGAACACAAGAAGGGTCAGATGTGATCTGTGAGGTCCTGCAAACATACTGGCAAAATGAGGTAAGAAAATCGCTATCGTTATTACCTTTCAAAAATAGTAAAGTATAACGTTACCAGAGTTTACAAATGGGTAAAGGACATGTAACCTGCAGAAGATAAATACCTGTGTGTGTATTTTTGTATTGCTTTATCACAGATGCTAAAATTAGATGCTCATCTGATGTTGTGTTGCTGGTAAGTTATGTGTTAATGTCTGTCTTTTAGAAATTTTTCCACATTTTCCTGATGTGAATGCCATGCATTAGGTGTGTTATATATTTTTTAAAGGGGTCATATGATGCGATTTAAATTTTTCCTTTCTCTTTGGAGTGTTACAAGCTCTTGGTGCATAAAGAAGATCTGTAAAGTTGCAAAGACTAAAGTCTCAAATCCAAAGAGATATTCTTTATAAAAGTTAAGAGTCAGCCACGCCTACCTAAAACGGCTCGTTCTAACACGCCCCCACATGTCTACGTCACTATGTGGGAAGATTTGCATAACGCCGGCCAAATATTCACACAAAGAAAGAAGGCGTAACTTTTATTCTCACTATAGTATTGTTGTTGCCGCCGCCATGTCGTGAAGGCGCTGTGTGTTTCGTTGTGAAAGCGAAACTACTTTGTTTGGCCTTCCAAAAATGGACACGACTAGAAATTAGTGGTTAAGTTGTATTTACAACACTGTTCCAGAACACTTCAACCCAAATATTCAGATGTGTGCAGCACATTTTATGGAGGACCGTTTCCTGATCCTGGTAGAGTAGACTACAATGCCGGCTGTTCTGACTCACGGACTGTAAGTACGTTTTTTATATTTAAAGAGTTTTTATATTGTAACAGTCACCACTGTTTCTTTTGTAGTTCCCATCCCTGGCACTAGGGGGAGTTGGGGAAGGTAACTATTCTAGCTCACCCTTTATAAGGAAGTGAGTAAGAGGGTAGCCATGTGCTTTGGAAGGGCTAGGAGCTCACCTTTGTTCAAGCCATTGTATGAGCCCTATTTTGAGGAACATCATTGTTCTTTCAGCTCAATGTAAGTGATGTTTTTGGTTTTTGTTGGATGAAGTGTGTATATGTAATGTTTCGTGTTTGGTCTGATTATTTAATTTTGTTTGTATACAGAGGGTTTTCTTTTGTGGGTGTATGGGCTGTGCCAACCATCAACCATGAGGTTGAAAAGAGTAAGGACTATTTCATCCTGATTATTCGTTTGGACTGAGTTTTCTTGGGATATACCTTGATGCTTGTTCTGGAATGGGAAATGGATGCTTAATATGGACATTAACCACTGTGAGCTCCAACAACAATGTTCATCTGTGATTCTCTACTCCTTTAAGGAGAGTGTTATAAGGTAGTGTGGTTTCATGTCTGTATGTGATCAGGTGCAATGGTGTATTTTTCTGTGTTTCTTTTGTTTTATATTGTACTGGGGTTAAAAAGGAAAACAACTTTAAAATATAGTTGGTGGATGATCCCCCTCAGATTTTGTGTGACTGGTTGTTTTATTATAGCTGGTGTTACAAGTTCACTCAGAATGGTCAATAGCAAAATATAATGTTCAACATGAATGCAAGTAATATTCACAGTCACGTTTGGTATAATTTGAAATGTCTCCGGGTAACTGGTACGGTGGTCTCAATCTTACAAGAAGTAGACTCTGTGTCTTTCATGCAGGGAAAATGTGTTGTTTTAACCTTAAACCGCATAAACACATTTCATTACACCAAATACACAAAATAATGTTCAAAATAAACATCATATGACCCCTTTAAATCTTATAATAGTCTCAAAGACTGTGGATCGCCGGATCGGCTTTCACCGTGGACGAAGCGGAGTCTGGAAGTAGCAAAGGTAAACCAACTCAAACCAGGGCTAACTCTTGCAGAGCTTATGTGTCTTCCAAGATAATCATGGATGCTGGAGTTACAGGTGCTGTTGTGCACAAAATGCTGAAACACAAAGGACATGACATCAACATGCAGGAAGAGGGTATAAAAAATTGTGTTGACCCAGAACTTCTGGCTTTTATTGACATGTGGCTTGAGCAAGGTCTATTGGTCTCAGAAACACTTCTGAAGAGTGTTGATTGGGCAGAAAGGCATGGACATATCGACAAACACAATCGTCGATATTATGTTACACCAGAGGATATTAGAATCATCAAAAAGAGCATCAATGCCCTAATTTTTCCTGATGAGAGCTAAAGGAGAACATTTGTTTTTATCAGCCATTAAGTGATGAACAACCCTTGAATCTATCTTTCAACCAATCACTTTCCTTTCTGCCCTTAGAACAACTTTGAGTAAGTAAAACTCCAATGAGCCCTCAATGCAGAACACAAGATCCAGGGGGCGTGGTTGGATCAAAATCCAACTACCCAGCACTGGGTTGTATTTAACCCAGCATTTTTTAGAGTGCACCCACCTTACATATACACGTCTCCACCCCCAGATCCCTAAACCCACCCATCTCCACCCCTGAACCTACCAATCTCCACCCCCTAGATGTGGATCCAACCACGCCCCCTGGATCTTGTGTTCTGCAGTGAGGGGCTACTGGAAATCCCGGAAGCTTTCGGTGAATCTCGAATCGAGGCTTGTATCGTTTTAGACCAATGACGTCCGAAGCCTCGCTTCCGCCTGACTGGTTCAAGGTTAAGGCTAGAAGGTATACAGCAAAAACTACTGGGCATACGCACATCTCACACTGTACAACAATAATTACTATTTTTGCATTATTGTAAGGGGTAGGTTTAGGGTTGGGGTAGGTGTATACGTTAATAAAACACAATCTAATAGGTAGAAAATTCAATTTATTGTTAGCTTCCGGTTTTTGCCGTATCCCTTCTAACCACAACCCTGGTTCAGGTATTCAGGAAGCGGTTCGAATCTTGGTGCGACATTTTGACAGATATAAACCCATGGGATCCCCTCAAGTTACACAAGCACATTCACTGCCCTCTGCCCAGTTAAACCCAGCCACTTTACAGTTTTAGAATAATAATATTGCCCCTCCTGCCTATTATGACCAAAGAATTGATTTACACACATTTGATAGCCCCATTCATTTCAAGCCAATACGTTTATTACAGTTATGTTATACAATCATTATAAATCACCATAAAATACACATTATATTCATATCCATAGATTAGTCTATGTGCAAATTTCTTTTTTCTTCCCCATTATTTCTAAGCCTTTACTGGTGCAAAATAGGCTACTACACATCACATCGGGTCATCTGTAATGTAGGCTATCTGCTTGTTTTACACTCTTTGATCACCAGGTGGTATTGTGTGCAAATGAAGCCTCGAGAAATGTATAGGCTTAGATCTCTGCCACAATTCTGCACGCGAAAGATCATATTTTGAGCGCACAAAAGTGCATTTTGCACGCGGCGCGATCTGAGTTTTGTGGAGAAAATGTTCATTTTGCAAAGAAAAAAGTATTTATTTTTTTCAGACGAAGCTGCTAAATTCTGATTGGCTGCCTTTACAACCACTCACAACATTTCTTGCATTACCACGACAGCAGAAGAGGAAAAATACAGTGCATGCATAATTATTATGCAAGTTGATTTTCTGATTATATTTTTTTCCAAGCACATTTTACCAATTCCAAACGACATCAATCTTAATAACTACTATTAATCTTGTATTTAATCACTTATAATCTATATATTATTGTTCATGAAGGCTGGAAGTGAAAAACGCCTTATATTCAGGTGTGCATAATTATTAAGCAGGTTATCTTCTACAGATAAAATCTCGAGATGGACTAAAAATGAACTCCCAAAACTTACTGCCAGATTGTGGAAGATAAATTCTTCAAACAGTGGTACAAGAGGATGTGGTGATGGTCCTTCAAGAGTCACTCTCATCTTAACTGTCTATAAAGCCTATATATA